CTACTAGTAGGATCGAGCCCTGCTGTTGGTATTTGAACATCTGGCGGGCGGCGGCGGTGGCTGAGTTGAATACTCCATTATAATTAATCGACATCACATCATCTAAAGCCTGCTGGGAGTGCTCTAGTGCGCTCTGGAGGTAGTTGATTCCGGCTGCGGCGATAAGACCGTCCAATCGCTCTCCCTGCGCTGCAATGGCTGCGAATGCGTTGTTGACTTCGGTGTTGTTGCGTACGTCGATGCGGATATATTCCAAGCTGCTTCCATAGTCATCCTGGGCCCTTTGCTTAGCAAGGAGGAAGTCTGGATGCGGGGATTCGAGGCGGTCCAGACAGTACACTGCTTATATGATATTGCGTTAGCATTCGTTCAGTTCGACAATCGGGGGGAAACGAAAGAGTCAATACCTTTTGCCCCGGCCTCGACCAACGCTTCTGCCATTGATAGTCCCAGTCCTCGTCCACCGCCGGTGATGGCATATACTCGGCCCTCAAGATCAAACTCGCTGAAACGGCGGTTGTTGCGCAAGAGCTCTTTCGCCGGCATCTTTGATTGGATGTGGTCCAGGTGGTGAGTTACATTGTGGATATCGTGAGGGCTAAAAGTACTCTTGGAGGTCGAGTACAAGCGACTTGATGAGGAAAAGAGAGAACCAGGAACAGCGACGGCGACTCCAGCTAGCCGTGTACGAGCGGGAGCCCATACTCGGGGAATGAAAGACATGGCCAAAGGCGGGATCGGGGTATAACTATAGAGTGGGAGGTATTCAGAAGCGAGGGAGTAATATTAATGCCGACAGTTGTGAAATAGGAAATAACAAGGAGTGATACAGCCAAAGAATTCACGATATTTCCGTATATTGCATCGGGGTGATAGATTTATATGTCTAGAGAGCTGAGACGGTACTTCCTTGGAAAGCCTACCGAGAACAATAAGATCCTGCATAAAGATTGACAGGAAAAAAAATCTTCTAGTTGCGCGTGACCCGGTGGATAATTGCTTTCACCATTACTCCGATGGACCCAGACACTTCGATTGACCGAGAGCATCCACGGCAAGGCCCAAGCTTGCCACTGAAGCTCTGATTAGCTATGGAGATGGGGAAGTTGGGGAAAGGGGGTCGCACCACTATCTAGGAAGGAATATCGTGACCTTGGGCTGAAGACGGTAAAGACTTCGATGCGAGCTTCGATGGAATGGCCCACCCGACGGGAGTATGCACGATTGTACATCACAATTGATAGTCTAGCAGTGTGATTGGCTCAAATCAGGTTCTTTTGCCAATGCCGATCCCCGGTTTTGTTCCGGTTCGAAGGGGCTGGATAGTTAGGGGGAAATATCAGAAGATCCCGCACTGAAGCTCCCATGCAGATGCGGAATGCCGGCCCCAATGAGATACTCGGCATCAACGGCTAGTTGGAAGCATAATGCATTTTCTATTTTCTTGCTTGACATTATGCCACAAAGATTTCGAGACATCCAAAGGCTCCAGGCTCCACAGAAATTTGTGGGTAGTTACAAGTCAATGGATATCTCATCTCGTCTTCTCCTTTCTCGGCGTCCCGGCCCCCTTGGGACCAGACCCTCGAAGTTCCACCTTGAATCCACCCAAACCCCATGGGCGTGCAGATTGTCCAGTCCCGGGTTCTAATTTTTATTTTATTTTATTTTTAGGATGGGGGGGAATGGACCACATGAGCTTAATGAAATCTCATACATTCAAGCCCGGGATTTCCTAATCCGGTAACCCTTCCTCACATCTTACACCGACTCCCATGCCCAAGGGACACCTGTACAACAGCTCTATAGAATCTTCGCCCTGAATGAGATCCCTGAATGTTTCATTTGCACTTACTATAATAATTGGCAAGGAACTTGGACGCTTTCTTTCTACGTCTCTATCACCGGGAACTAAAGGCGTTTGGGGGGGGGGGGCGGTTGCCAATACGGAGTACAATGTATGGCATAATATGCTAGCCGGGCCTGTTCCATATTCCTTTTTGTAGTTAAGGAAGCCCCCCGAACTCGCTGCCTGGACCCTCTTTGCCACTCATGATGGGTCTGTCCCGCAAGCCCTACATTGTACACGTGCTTGCAATCCCATTCCGACTACGGAGTAAGCAGGGGCTATCAAAGAATTGAAGACGATCTTGAGCATCTTGCGGAACGGCGTACGTACTAAATTCAGGTCACCTGTCCCTTGTGGAGTACTTCATACAGATAAGGGATATGTGATATTTCTGTCAATAAAGAAGCAACACGATCTGCAGGGACACGGTGTGCACATTCCTTCTCTCCTGCGGCTGGTCTTCAAATGAAGATCCCGACAGACGACACATGACCCCATCTCGCAGCAATGGATGGAGCGAACTTGATTTCTCGGAAATAGCTTTGCCAAGACCACCAACAAAAAGTGCGGGTAAAAGAAAGAGAAAAAAAGGACCCATGCATTATCCAGACTCCTGTCAGCCGTCCTAATCACCCAATGCCCATGAGATAAAACGCCAATTCCTCTGAAGGTGCTCGTAAACGAAGACAATAAGAACAAAGGACCAATTAGAGTCCATGGGCCGCTTCAATCATTATGGCATACCCGCGAGACTCGCAGTCGTCTCGGGTCCGAAGCTGCTGCGAAGGCTTCCGAAATCCAGTTTCATGAGCAGACGATCCACGCCCGCTGCTTTATGGGGCACGTAATGGTGGAAGCCGGAACTCGTGCTGTCAGCTTGGTGGGAACCAGGCCACGTCTGACCGAAGTTCGTTGCGAGTCCCACGGGTCCCAGACCTTCTCCCGAGCGACTGTCGTCAATGTCCCGCAGGCTTCCAACGAGATTCTTGATACCCGCTTCGACATCGTTTCGAGTGGCGCGTAGCTCTTCCCATACCTCGCGTTCTTCATGGGCATAATCTACCAAGGCGTCTTCCACGCCTTCATCTGTTTCTAAATCCATGTTGCGTTGGATAGTTTCCAACCGTATCAGAAGGGCCACGAAGCGGTCTATATTTGTGAGGAGTCCTCTCATAGTGTTTGTGAAGGGTAGATCAGTCAAAAAGAGAGATTGCACCAAAGATGACAAGTGCCGCCGGTGGGCAACCGTGAGAGCCTCGGGATCATGTCGTCCCATGGTCTGCTGGCCAGACTCGGGGGACAGTGTTTTGGAACTGTTATGCGATTTAGAAGAGGATGCGGTCCCAGGTCGGGATCCAGGAGCTGATACTGTGGACGAAGAGCATCCTTCAATCCATTGGCGAAGGTGCTGCCATGACTCATTGACGACGTCTCCCTGGAAAAAGCTCCCAATCTCGGAAAGCGTAAACAGACATGCACTTCCTGTGGCCCAGATATGACGCATTTGGCGAACACGGGCATTATCTCTATCTCTCCTTGCCTGCAGCTTAGCTTGGCCAAAGACACTGTTACTTCTGGGTGGTCCCCATGGTGTAGGGTGGTTTCGCCGCAACGGAGTTCGTTTCCATAGATCTCCAAGCCGGATCTGAGCCCGCCGTATTCCCAGGAGATAAGAATGGATCTTAGAATAGATGACAATATCGGAGCTCGAGATAAATAGGTCCAGAGGGGCTCGGATATGTGCGGTGAGATTTGTGGGTGTGGGGAAGAGCAGATCTTCAAATGAGATCTTTGAGATTTTGGATATTGAATTGGGATTTTGGGCAGGGGTTATCGGTCGGCCACTTTTGCGGCCACTGATGGACAGACAAAGAAGGTCCCGGGCAAGTTCAAGTTCTTCATCGGCTGGGTCCTCCTCCTTTTGTAGCGAGAAAAGCTCTGCCCATGCTTCAGCTAGAGCAGCTGTGACATCACCTTCTTTGATGGTAAGGTTGTCAAGTTTTCCCAATGGACGGGTCGCTGATGGGCCTCGGCGTCGGCTTTCCTCAATGCGAGAATCCGCATGTGCTACAAGAGCTACTGCAAACTCTCCTCGTCCTAGTAAAAGGAAATTGTGAAGCAAAGTCAGGATTTCCAGGATCTTTGGGAGGGGCAACAATTTAGACAAGGTTGATTGAGAAAGGGAAAGGCGAATGGAGTCAACGGCGGTAGTCAACTTTGAAGGCGAAATTGGTGATTTCAGGCCCGCAAGTTGCTCGATGTGCTCCCGATATAACGTCACGGGCGCAGTAGAAGTTCCTGCTATTGAAGTTTTCCGCTTCGCCCGGATATGATTGAGGGATTTGCCAATAAATAGTATTGAGCCTGCTGTTTGTGCTGTGACGAAACCTGGGAGCAATCGGACGTTTATGCTGAATTGTGCCTCTCCATTCTCTTTTTCGGTATCCTCCTGGATGAAAAAGTCTTCCTTCCCGTAGATAGGAAGATTTCCATAAAGCAACCACATCGAAAGTTGTTTCATCCATGCTGTCTCAGCCGCTGTCGCCAGCTGTAGGGCCATCTCCTTGATATCAAGATATCCTGTTTGAGCTTCGGTCCGCAGGTGATCTATGAGTGCTGCCCCCGTGGAACCATGCAAAATCCCGGTGCTTTTTCTTTCGGGTTGAATGAACTGGATAACAGCCCAAAGCCACTCCATGCGCCGCGTCCATGGTGCAAACTCCTCCACGATAGTCGACAACGGGACAATACCATAGCCTCCGACATATCCACTGTCCTCGGCAAGGATTGCCCTCTCAACCTCCAGGATCTTCTTCTGGAATTCGCCTAGATGTGTTCCAACAATAACTGTAGAGACAGAGCGGCATATGACAGATGGGCTCGTGGAGGATATATTGGAGGCATATTTCCGCAGCTGCACGTGGAGTCGACTTAGATGGGCAACGGAGGCGAGGAGGGCTTTCTCCGGAGGTGAAAGAAGGAGAAAATCATCTTGAGTGACAGCATTTTCCCCTTTTTGGGTATTGAATAGGGGGGGACGGCTGGCCGGAGAGGGAGAGTAGGATCTCATGGAGCATTCTGACGAGAGTTCCCTATCGGTCCATATCAATCACGAGCTCATCACAGGCGTATATGCAGAAAACTCACCTAGAGAAATGTCTTCTCTCCGCTGGGCAGTTCCTACGCTGCCAGTACAATAGACCGCGCCCCACGATTTCAAAGCGACACATATGAAGTCGAACGTCTTGTCGGCGCCAAGCTTCGCGTTGATGCCGAGACGCGTCAAACGTGGCGTATGGAATAGCAGGCTTCAGAACCAATCAGGGAAGATAGGGCTGGTTGTTCATTCTTGAAAGTCGACCACAACCTTATCCAGATGTGTCACAGCTTCCAACTCTCAACAAGACACTATGGCTCGAACACAATAGCTCCCATTGAAGTATTGCGGGGCTAAAGGCCAATCGCCCTCTCACCGCCCGTTAGTCATCACTTAGCTGTCCGGACCCCCTCTTACGTCGGTGTCCCTCTTGATCTCATCTTCTACTTCGTACTGACTTGTCCTTTACTTATTCACCTCCCACCTCACACAGCAGCGCTTCATTATTCTTCTCTTCTATAATCCTCTATCATTCGTCGATTGCGTTCGGATTACTACTCTTCTCCGTGCTCGTTGAGCTAGGTACCTGGTACGCTGGGCGTTGCAACTTGATTTATCATCACTATTGAAAGACTTGCTCTATTGCAAGGCTTTCACCTCCTGATTTTCATCATTCCTTCAAACATTCCTGTTCGAGACGCGGCTAAGCCCGGGAAGCGCAGAGCCTCTGAAGACGACGTCGGAGCTCGGCCAGAGAAAAGAACCATGACGGTATGGTTAGTCTTGATCTTAAGAGATAAGATTTGCCACTAATATATTTCACCAAAGGACGTCAAGATGCAGGTCGAGAACCCCCAAGAAACCATCGAAGCCATCAAGCATGGGGATATCGACGAATCATTGTATAGTCGACAGCTGTAAGCCCCCCCACATCCCTCTATAACATTCAAATCGCGAGTATCTACTGACACCATAGAGATACGTTCTTGGTCACGAGGCCATGAAGCGAATGGGCTCCTCCAACGTTCTGATTGTGGGTCTCAAGGGCTTGGGCGTGGAAATCGGTATGTGATTCAACTATTAACCAAACCTTGCTTTCATCCCAACATCTGATTGTTTCTATAGCCAAGAACATCGCCCTCGCCGGTGTTAAATCTCTCACCCTATACGACCCCGCACCAGTCGCTATCTCGGATCTTTCTTCGCAGTTTTTCCTTCAGCCAGAGGACGTCGGCAAGCCTCGTGCTGAAGTTACTGCCCCTGAGAGTCGCCGAGTTGAACTCCTACGTCCCCGTCACGGTCCATGAGGGCGAGAGCCTCGTAGGCGATCTCGAACAACTAAAGCGCTACCAGGCAGTGGTTCTCACACAGACGCCTTTGAAGGAGCAATTGGCGATTGCCGACTTCTGCCACAAGAACAAAATCTACCTCACAATTACGGATACATTCGGTCTCTTTGGTTATATCTTCAATGACTTTGGAAAGAACTTCACTGTGGGTGATCCCAACGGTGAAGAGCCTGCTAGTGGAATTGTGGCGGATATCGACGAGGAAGGGTTGGTCTCAGCGCTCGATGAGACAAGACATGGACTCGAGGATGGTGACTTTGTCACTTTCACTGAAGTCAAGGGTATGGAGGGGCTAAATAACAGTGATCCTCGCAAGGTCACTGTGAAAGGTCCCTATACTTTCACTATTGGCGACGTCTCCGGTCTAGGATCCTACCAAGGTGGTGGTCTATTCACTCAAGTCAAGATGCCCAAGTTCATTGATTTCCAGCCACTGGAGGATCAACTCAAAAATCCCGAAGTTCTCATGTCCGACTTTGCCAAGTTTGACCGGCCACAACAATTGCACATTGGTATCCAGGCTCTTCATAAGTTTGCGGAGACTCGTGATGGCCAACTGCCTCGTCCCCACAATGATAGCGACGCCCAGGAGGTTCTGAAGATTGCTAACGATCTTGCTGCGGCCGGTGAAGAAAAAGTTGAACTGGATGAAAAGATAATCAAAGAGCTGAGTTACCAGGCTCGCGGTGATCTGAATCCGTTAGCTGCTTTCTTTGGTGGAATCGCCGCCCAGGAAGTTCTGAAGGCTGTCTCCGGCAAGTTTAGTCCTGTGCATCAGTGGCTGTACTTTGACTCTTTGGAGTCTTTGCCTTCGTCAGTCACTCGATCCGAAGAGAGCTGCAAGCCTCTTGGTACCCGCTACGATGGTCAAATTGCGGTGTTTGGCAAGGAATACCAAGACAAACTTGCCAATGTCACTCAATTCTTGGTCGGTTCTGGTGCTATCGGTTGTGAGACGCTGAAGAACTGGGCCATGATGGGTCTGGGTACGGGTCCCAAAGGAAAGATTTACGTCACCGATATGGATCAGATCGAGAAGAGCAATCTTAACCGCCAATTCCTCTTCCGTTCTAAGGACGTTGGCAGACTCAAGAGTGAATGCGCGTCCGCGGCCGCCCAGGCAATGAACCCAGATTTGAGAAATAAGATTGTCACCCTTCGTGATCGCGTCGGTCCCGACACTGAGCACATCTTCAATGAGGATTTCTGGAACGGCCTTGACGGTGTGACAAATGCTTTGGACAATGTTGATGCGCGGACATATGTTGATCGCCGCTGTGTCTTCTTCCGCAAGCCATTGCTGGAGAGTGGCACCCTGGGCACCAAGTGTAACACTCAGGTCGTCCTTCCTTTCATCACGGAGTCCTACTCCAGCTCTCAGGATCCCCCGGAGAAGTCATTCCCTATGTGTACCCTGAAGAGTTTCCCGAATCGCATTGAGCACACCATTGCATGGGCACGGGATGTCTTCCAAACCTACTTCGTTGGCCCACCTGAATCAGTCAACATGTACCTCTCGCAATCCGACTACATCCAGCAAACCCTCAAGCAGGCGGGTAATGAGAAACAAACCTTGGAGCACCTGCGTGACTTCTTGGTCACTGAAAAACCGCTAACATTCGATGATTGTGTTGTGTGGGCTCGCCAACAATTTGAAGCGCAGTACAACAACGCAATCCAGCAGCTTCTCTATAACTTCCCCCGGGACTCCAAGACATCATCCGGTCAACTATTCTGGTCTGGTCCTAAGCGTGCCCCTACACCATTGAAGTTCGATAGCACCAATCCAACTCATCTTGGATTTGTTGTTGCTGGTGCTAACCTCCATGCGTTCAACTACGGTATCAAAAACCCCGGTGCGGACAAGGACTATTACCGACGGGTAGTTGATGACATGATCGTTCCGGAGTTCACCCCGAGCTCGAATGTCAAGATTCAGGCCAATGAAAACGACCCTGATCCAAATGCCCAGCCAGCTGGTTCATCGACTGATGATGAGGAAATCCAGAAACTGGTGGCATCTCTTCCCTCGCCCAAATCTCTTGCTGGTTTCCGCTTGCAGCCAGTTGAGTTTGAGAAGGATGATGATACCAACTACCACATCGACTTCATCACCGCGGCCAGCAACCTCCGTGCAGACAACTACGAGATTCCTCAGGCCGACCGACATAAGACCAAATTTATCGCCGGAAAGATCATCCCGGCGATTGCCACCACTACTGCCCTGGCGACCGGTCTTGTTGCCCTCGAACTGTACAAGGTTGTTGACGGCAAGGACGACATCGAGCAATACAAGAACGGCTTCGTTAATTTGGCCCTTCCGCTATTTAGCTTCAGTGAGCCGATCGGTAGCGAAAAGGGCACGTATCAAGGCAAGCAAGGCGAGGTCACAATTGACAGGCTCTGGGACCGATTCGAGGTGGAAGACATTCCCCTTCAGGAGTTCATTGACTTCTTCGCCGAGAAGGGCTTGGACATCACCATGGTCAGCTCTGGAGTCAGCTTGTTGTATGCAAGCTTCTATCCCCCGTCGAAGGTCAAGGATCGCCTTCCTCTACCGTGAGTATCTCTTCTATACATGCGTAAGTCCGTGTACTAATACTATATCTTCCAGTATGAGCAAGCTTGTGGAGCACGTCAGCAAAAAGCCAGTTCCCGAGCACCAGAAAAACATCATCTTCGAGGTTACCGCCGAGGACCAAACAGAAGAAGATGTCGAGGTTCCCTACGTCATGGTCAAGCTCACAAAATAAGGCGATTAGAGTTTACGGCAAGCCTGTTGGCTACGTATTGCTAGTACAGTAGCTAGATTTCATGATTATTCCACTCCCCAAAGCTCTCCACTGGTACACATGTGTGTGTAGATTACCAATGTAAGGCCACTTCCAAGGTTGTGTACGTACAAATTGATGTCAAATCATGGGTTTTGCCAAGACCATCCAGATTTGTCAAAGCTGATCGATCTTCCGATAAGCAACCTTGGAAATCTGACTCAGCATTTGGTCATGTCCATGGACGTCATGACCCCCCGCAAAGGCGGCATTTTGATTCTTTCCTATATATACATGTGTAAATTCCACTGTGTCCGCCGCCTATGTTCTTTACTCTGCTGAGATCTCAACCATTGCAGCATCTTTCACGTCCAATTTTCCGCGCAGGGCCTCTTCGTGCAGCTTACCAGACCTTTGTGTTCCCCACAGTACCAATCATCTACTCCCGCAATATGGCTGTAAGAAACACAAGATAAGCCCGCTACAATAGCTCCAATGACTATACTGACTTATAATTCAAGGCCGCAAATTCCATGAACATCACCGATTGGGTGAAACCCGGCGACAAGTCCGGCGAATTCAAGCGTCAGCAATCCGTCTTCCGGAACTGGATCTCTAGAGAGGCCGGGGCCCAATTTCCTCCAGAGAAGGGCCGGTACCATCTTTATGTTTCTTATGCCTGTCCTTGGGGTATGGAAGAGCTTCCAATGTAGTCGACACTCGATCAGTGGTTAACTATCTACTAGCTCATCGGACTTTGATTACGCGGAAGCTCAAGGGTCTCGAGGACTTCATCTCTTTCTCTTCGGTACACTGGCATCTTGGAGAAAAAGGTCAGATCTATCTTCTGAGTTCTGGGGGAATTGCATTGTTCTAACTCATCTCGCAGGCTGGCGATTTGTTACTCCCGATGAGAAACTGCCAGGAGAGAACACCATTCCTGATCCTCTACACCCGGAATTCACCCATCTCCGACAGATCTACTTCTCGAATGACCCAGACTACACGGGCCGGTTCACTGTCCCCGTTCTCTTCGACAAGAAGACCAAGCTAATCGTAAGCAACGAGGTATGAAACAATCCTCCCAAAAGAAAACCATTTCCAACCCATAATACTTACAAAACCAGAGCTCCGAAATCATCCGCATGCTTTACCACGAATTCGACGATATCCTCCCAGAGCAATACAAGAAAATTGATCTCTTCCCCGATGCTCTCCAAGCCGAGATCGAGGCTTACAACGAATGGATCTACAACGACATCAATAATGGCGTATACAAATCTGGTTTCGCAACCACGCAAGAAGCCTATGAGAAAGCTGTCACGACGCTCTTCTCCTCGCTAGACAAAGTCGAAGCACACCTCGCCAAGCAGCAAGCAGCCTCGAAGCCGTATTTCTTCGGCGATGAGATCACTGAGGCTGATATCAGACTCTACACCACCATTGTTCGGTTTGACCCGGTCTATGTGCAACATTTCAAGTGCAATCTGCGTGATATTCGCTCCGGGTTCCCGGCTCTCCATCGCTGGGTGCGCAGGCTGTATTGGGATGTTCCTGCTTTCCGGGATACCACTGACTTTGAGCATATTAAGCTCCATTATACTAAGAGTCACAAGCAGATTAATCAGTTTGCTATTACTCCTGTGGGGCCTGTGCCAGATATCCTTCCTCAGGATGAGGAGGTTAGGGCTGTGCAAGCGGCTAAGTAAGAGTTTTATCCAGGAAAGGGTGGTGCGATTCGCGAACTGGGCAGTTTAAGAACAGTCAGAATGGTATTCAAGAAATGTTTCAATGTATGTACTATCCAAGCATGTAGATTTTCTTGTGTAAAAAAAATGGAAATCAAAAAGTCCCGTGGTATTGTATCGACGCCTTGCCATGCTGATGTGGTTGATGGTGAGTGTCCCAGTGCCCTGTATCAAAGGTTGGTCAAAAGTACAGTTGTCTCAAGTGAGCACAACATAGGCAATAGAAAGCAAATATGTAAAAATTACAGTGAAGCCTTGCTGGCATCAACCAAATGTGAATGCAAAGAAAATAAAAAATGAAACCCCAATTGTGATACCCCGGTAATATGGCGAAGAGATCAAAAATGAGAATGGGGTGCATCTCAAATGCACCCATGAGCGAGGGGGTGTGCCATGTCTGTAAATGGCCTTTGTGGGTATCTTGGGGACAATGCTTTTAAATGTCAAGCCAGTAAGTAGCAAAGATCGATCCGAAGGCACCGGAATGGACGTGCCAGGGCAAAGGTCGAAAATGCATGCAATTGGCTTAGTTGTGTCCGCGGGGGATGCAAGGAGGAAGCGGAAGTGAGGGCTTGTTCGGCAAATCATCGTAGGCCAAGCATGCGTTTCGAGTTCTCGTAGACCACGTAGCTGATTGACATGGCCGGTGCCACTTTGAGAAGGTTAGGTGTGAGACCTTTGTAAAGGCCACGGGGTCCTCTCGGTCTTGAGTGTGATTTTTAGGACCTCGCCAATTCCTGTGTATGTAGGCGGATGCATGATCGTGCCCTGGGTTTGAAGTCGAGTTCGGAGAACATTGAGGGGGTAGACAATCGAGGCGCTGAATCCTCCACTCATAGCACCAATTGCACCTGTTGCGAAGTTGCCGAGGGGTACATCATCCTCATGACAGCCACAGTCACGAGCCTTTTTAGCTAGGAGTGTCCGTTTGAGGTATTCAAATGTTGATAAATCGATTGCGGCGTAGGGGAACATGCCCACAAGGCCAAGCGGGAGTCCTCGGAAAAAGCCAACGAAGCCATTTTTGCTCCACACCTTTTTTGCGGTAGCTGCGATGAGCTGGTTGCCTTTCGGGCCATCTTTCACGGTTTCACACTGCATGCGACTAGTGGTGATTGTAAGCGACAATGCTCCAACAACTCACTCGGATCGATGTACTCACAATTTTAGGGTATCGAGGGGGTAGACAAAGCATCTAGTCACAATTAAAACCGATTTTCCTCTCATCAATGACACAAAAGACCTACTGGGCAACCATTCCACCAAAGCCACCGGACATGAACTGCGAAGTGGGAAGGAGTCGCTTGGGATCGTTATGTCCTTCGAGTCGTGCAAATGCTCTTTTCGCGGACTGTTTTCAGGTCAGCATTCGTCTCATTGTGTAGCGAAATTGAGTATCAAGAGCACAAACCTCGTAGGCACCAAACTTGATCGCAGACTCCGGCATGACCTTGACCACGTTCAAGCCGTTCCCTACTTAAGTTAGTCGTTGCCGCTTCGAGTCCAGATCGACAATACGACGAACCTGCGAACAAACTCCGTATTCCTCCAGCCCGCCATAGTTCCTTGAGAGCGTCGAACAATGTTCTGGACGCATTCCCCGCCGCAGCCAACGGGGCTCCCTCCTTCGCCGCCTTAACCGTTGATTTGACACCGGTCTGCGCAATGAGATAAACTTTGAGACGATCGAGGGGGGCGGTAGCAGTCCTTGAAACGGCACCCGCAATTCCACCTGCAAGGAAGTAGCCTAGTTGAGGGGTATTCTCGGTCAACTTCCGTCCATAATATCGGAAAAACATCCGCATGGCGGTAGTCTGGGGAAGTGGCAACCACTCCAACTCCAAGTCGCCGTCTAGCGAGACAAAATCTTGCTCGAGAACGGGTCCCAACTTTGAGATATGGCTGGTTTCCGCGTGTGCTGAAGGAAGGAGGGAGGCCAAGGCGGGGAGGGACAAAATGTTGTACAAAAAGTGTGGGATGGCGAGAATATAAGGTGAAAGAAACGGATAGTCTGTACCTAAACCCTGCAGGTCATTGATGTTGACATCTCCTTCCGGGTTTAGATTTCCCGTAGCCGTGTAGTATGAAAGGACGGCGTGTAGGTCGGTCGGGGACTGGAGTGGGAGGAATAGAAGGAAATCCCTAAAACGAATCATATGTCAGCCTAGACAACTCAGCCTGCAGTTGCCCAGTGAGAAATGCATATACCTCCACTCTGTGTAAGAGATCACCCCGTCATGGTTTTTGTCGACCTCGGCGAAAAACCGGTCCAACTTGGCGTTCGAAACCGTGACTCCGGAACGTGAAAAGGCATTCCGCAATTCCATCTTGTCAATTTCTCCGTTTTGATCTCGATCAATGCTCTGGAACATCTGCCATAGTCCGTTCTCGGTGTGGTTGAGAAATGCTCGGAATTCTGGTGGTGATTAGGATTGGACCAAATATTGGCCAGGGCCTTCCCCGAATGGTGACTAGGTGGTTCTCGTGAGCTTACCAGCTTGGTCGATACGTCCATCGCCATTCGTGTCCACCTCCCGCACAACATTGACTACCATATCGTCTGCATTTTTTAAAGCTACGAGGACATTAGCCAAGAGCGCAGATAGACAGCAAGGAACCCGGTCAAACTCACGATGATCGATTTTCTTTAGCCCCTTCTTTAACCCATTCAGGTCGATATGGCCTTCTCGTCGTGTATCCAAGGTTTCCCAGAGTTTGGCGACTCGTTTGTCGCGTTCATCTTTTGACTCTCCGGATGCCATAGTGAAAGTTGTTACCGAGCAACCATTATTTCCAAGGTTGGTTTGATTTGTTATAAGGGGTTTGAGAACCCAAGACCCCTAGCAGTTGAGGGGAAGAAAATCGAGGGGGACATAAAAGGGATGACGTGAGGTAAAAGTTATGCCCCAGGTGAATATGAATATGAATATGAATGGATAAATGATCTGATTAATAGGCGCCCGGCCATTTGACCGGCTTTGACGCCATCGGATTATCTCGCACGGGACCAGGGCCAAGCCCTACTATCCCTTTTTGGGATTGCAACCTGACCTCAGATGAGTTGATTCTTAGATTATTATATTATATTATATTGTTTGATTTGGTTTTGCTTTTCTATTGTGTTGGTGCTGCATCTCATTTTTCATTTGAATACGTGACCTGCGGGGTCAGCTATACAGCCCGGACTTCGGACCATGTCGTGACGGCTTTCCAGTTACGAGCTTTGCATCATCAAACATTGAACTTTCAATATGGCAGCCAACTACTGGGCATCAACCCAGCGTCGACACTGGCTATTTTCGAGAGAGAAGTTGGCAGATATCCGTGAAGGATTACGGGAGAAGGATAAAGTTGCCCATTCGCAGTTCCCGTTGCCTGATCAACGGCTACTGAATATCTACTTTAACCAGCGTAGGTTTCGCTAATATGTCCATTGATTTGAATGTAACTTCAGGCTAATTCAAATCATAGAGCTTATCAAGCTTGGCAAGCGCATGTCCACCAGGCAGCAGGCCATTGCAACAGCACAGGTGTATCTCAAGAGATTCTATACCAAGAATGAGATTCGACAAACCAGCCCATACCTTGTGCTCACCACAGCATTCTATCTCGCCTGTAAGATGGAAGAGTGTCCACAGCATATCCGCTTTGTGGTCGGCGAAGCGCGCGGGCTGTGGCCAGGTATGTTTCCGTATATAAAGCCATAAACAGACCAAACACTAACTATCCACAGAATTTATTACCCCGGATGTGGCAAAGCTCGGGGAATGCGAGTTTGCCTTAATATCCGAACTGAGCTCGCAACTCATCGTGCATCATCCTTATCGGACTTTGTCCGAACTTCAAACTGAACTATCACTCACCTCGGATGAAATCGCTCTCGCCTGGTCTGTTATCAACGATCATTATCTGACAGATCTACCACTTCTACACCCTCCTCATGTCATTGCGATCATGGCAATCATCGTTGCTGTTGTATTCAAGCCCACCCATCCATCTGCCTACCTGGGACCGGACAATCGGCTTTAGCAGGCTCTATGAGAGATGGCGGTGGTATGCAGATGCTGGCCGCTTTATCGGATAAAACTGGATCTGGTCCTCCTCCTAAAATTCAGAAGCTGGTCGGCTGGCTTGCGGAAAGCGAAGTCGATATCAAAGCTGTCATCGAATGTACACAAGAGCTGGTCTCGTTGTACGAGGTCTGGGAGCAATATAGCGAGAAGAGCTGCAAAGAGTTGCTTGGGAGGATGGTGAAGAGCAAGAACTTGGACAAGTGATGCCGTCCCTCATCTTGTACTTTAACATAACCTTTGTATCCCGGTCTCGTCTTAATATCCCAGATAGGCAGCTGGTCCACGTACGTCTGATTTACTTTTGACCGGTTTCCTAGCCCCCTTCTTTTGTGGACACTTTCTACTGCCCATCTACCAAGGCATGGCTGGTAATAAGTTTTCAGGTCAAAGAGTCATCGACAGTAACGATTATAGCAGGAATCGGCTTGCAAGCTGAAGACAAGCGTTGCGATGTGTGGCAAGTGGAATGAAAAGGGCTCTTCCGTTACTCAAAATCAGAGCTTACCATCTTGGTTTCGCGTGGTAAATCAGAATTCAGCCGGTCCTTCGATTATCCCCATGCGCCATATGCTTGTTACTAACCTGGCGATACTGTCGGAGGAGGAAGAGGTGAAGAAGAGAAAATGGAGGGGGGGGTTACCTAGGTATACATGCAGGTGGATACATCGCACCTTCCCAATCCATGAATAGCTTCAAGGCAGCAATAGGCCACCACCATACCGTTCGATGCTGTTCGATTATTGGTGCGGCGAAATGATATATAAAGTGGATTGGCGTCGATTCACTTGGGTCGAATGTAAATTCCCTGCATATCTCCGTGTCTGCGATCACATAGTCGACCAGCGCATTATGACCTCTGCTCATTAGATACATGCATGTAGCCTCTTGTATCTCAATGTACATACATACGCTGCTATAACTATGTATGCATTGATCTTATGTGGCGTTACTATAAGAGAAAGAAACCCCGGATTAGAATGGCACCTGGGCATGGCCCTACTCCGTACTGTAATCCAGAATAGATTTAAGTTTTTCTAGGCAAAGGGTGCATACCTAGGTATGTACATACATTTATGTGAGGTATTTTGACAATGGAAGCGGTTATTCAGCGATAGAGACAACCTTGGAACCTTGGAAGTTGGGCTCTCAAGGCAAGAACAATATGAAGCCCTTGAACGGCCTGCATGCCGAATATCAGCTGTTAGCTTTCATTAAATTCTGTATAAAGAGATTGACTTGCGACGATGGGCATGGAAATACTAGGTATAATCTTGGAAATATACGTGCAGCATCTTTGTGACCTGAGAAGTAGGATATGCGGTTTCCAACCATCGAGGGGTCCATCTTAACTACTCTTGTACATACCTAGGTAGTATGTAGGTAAGAATTACTCAAGCGTAATAAAGGTAAGTCCAACCAAAATAATGTTTAAAGAATGAGAATCTAGACTTAACTGTTGTTTGTATGCTGTCATGCTGTCATGCCGTGCAACAAGGATGGCCTCGACTCCGCAAATCGCGATTTCAATATCGCCCATAGTCTGAAACCACCTTCCGGCTCGGAGGCACAGAAACATTTGCCACGATGGAGGAGGTATCACATATTTACAATTCAACCAGGGCCACTAGAATAGTTGAAGATCGTGCAAGTCCCTTGCGCAGTGTATCTGGGGATCGGATAGGATCATAGTCCCTCACTGAATTACATATTTCTTGCATTTGGACCCCACGATCTCACGCAGACACCAAATCATGCACCATGCATAGACGCTGGATAGATCAGCTGCATAATTCAAGCTTCAACGTTTACGGAGTAAAATACAACATAACTATGTGATATATCCGATCTCGGCAGGTGCGAACTGCGCCTCGTGAGATTCTGTTCCAAATGGCCAAGGCCAAAGGGGCGGTGAAGCCGAAAACTGGAGAGTTTACGGTGGTACATTGTCTCTACCTAGGTAGAGTTTGGGCTTGATCCTTTTTCGGCGTGGTGTAATAGAATGGAAGTTATCACTGGTGGAAAATGGAAGCTCGGCACATCAAGTAACAGGGTCATGTTCCAGTAGGCGCCGAGAGAGCATTTCCGAGTCCATACCCCAATCAGGGACAAAAGGACCAAAATAAATTAAACGGAAATAGCTCCCTAAATATATACACACGTTGGAGAGTGTGAACTCACGGTTGATTTTCATTCGGTCGCATAGATATGCAGTGAGTCACGGGTAGGCAATGCTACCCAGCGAAAAAGCGAGAAGGCGCCTTAGGCCCCTGCCCTAGTCCGGATTCCGCATTAATCAACTCCGACTTGGAAGGGTGGAAGCTGATAAGGTAGGATCTCAAGGTCCCCTGCCAATAATAGGCGGGTTCATCTGCAGCTAGTGATGTGGGTGTGTCTCGAGACCAACAAGGTTTTTGCTTTTCGAATTTTTGCGCTGCGTGTCGAAGGATTGGGGAATTCGTACGGGGGAGCCGATCAAAGCAAGATTCAGCCACTGCCGATTCGGGCACCCTATAGGGGCAATGGAGGGGAATGTACCTGGTAAAAGTCCAAGCCCTGCACAGCCTGCAGCTAAGGGGATCCGAAGGGCTGAGAAAAATTTCAGCTTCCCAACCCCTACAAGATATGAGGAACGGAGTATGGGGTTTTAGTTTTCGGGACAGCTTTACTGCATTTTCAGTTGATGATACATCATTTGTATATTGTTAAATTCGGCAATGTCGGCAATCTCGGATCTAGATAAAAAATAAAAAATAAATGAAACTATGTAACAATTATCATTGTCCGAGGACAATCCTACCTACAATGTTGTAGAGTTCTCCAGATGCCCTTGGTATGTAGGCAGTGGCGGTCATCACTCACAAAGATCTTCCTAATACGGAGTAGAGTAACGTTCTAATTGTCAACGACGTCACGTTTTTTTCACTCAGTATTTTGGTGGGCCGTTGAAGGTCCATTTTGGGAGGATCTGCGAGTTTTCATTGGCTGTGAGGCTATTGCCACTTCGTTAGCGCTTTGGTCTGGTTGGTGCGTCGATGGAAGTGCCTTTTCATGACTGACAGTACAAAACTGTAATTATCCATATTATCCATATTAAACAACTCGACCAACTCCCTGAAATAGTAATATATGGTAATTACCATAACCATACCATCCCCCCCATAACACACCCCTCCCCTCTTTTCCCTTCGCCTCTTCCCACACACTCTCATTCTCATTAATCCTCCTTTCCTCTTTCAATCCCATCGATCTTTCCTATATTTTTCTATTTTCTTTTTGTAACTTTCTATTTATCTTCTCTCATCTTCTCGTTTTCGAGCTTCTCACACAATGTCTGCCTACTTCTATAACCAACAGCAACATCAGCAACACCCTCACCATGGTGCTCATATGCAATCTGCATCAAATACCCATCACGGACGCTCTCGTCGTGCCCCAAAGATGGCCTCTCAGAATGCTCAGCGTCAGTTCCGAGGAGTTAAGAGTATGCGGGAATTGGCGGAAGCTCCGGCTGTGACAGCCTTCCGTGCAAGATTCGAGGCTGGTCGCTCCTTTGATCTGGATGACGACCTCGAGTTCTGTCCGGGTCTCCTGACTGAGGATGATGTATGTTGTGATTGACGAATCTTCAAACCCCCTTATCCGTCACCCCCTTGAAGATCGCTACAAATCTCAATTTGGATAAACCATAAAGGGGCCAATTTTGTTGACGTGCTTCGTAGCTGCACTCCATCCACTCCGCTTCCGACCGCTCCTCCCTCTCCAGCGGTTCACCGGACACCTCGCCTTTGCAGCACCAAATCCAACCCGTGCAGCAGGTGACCCCGTCCATCTCTTTGTCCCCCGCTCAAACAAACTCATACGTTCACCCTGGTGTTGCCGGCAACCCTAATCATGTCAACTACCAGCAGCCTGCGAACCGGACCCGCAAGGTCATTCCGATTATCAACCCCTCGACCGGAATGACCCTGTCGAGCCCACCTTCATCGATCTCGCCCGCGATGATGCAGACTGCTCAGCGTCGATGGTAAGGGTGCCATCTGCCAAAGTCGTAGGCTGGTACCCTACATCTCCATTCGTCCATTGCACGTCCGTTATTTAAGCTGTTCTGCATCATCGGGGTCCCTTAATCGCAGGTCATAATTTTTTTTTTCTCCACTTGCATTCTTGTTCGATACATCTATTGCATTCGACACGACACCTGGAAAAATATTTGTTCCACGAACACGGCGACAAAAAAAAATCATCAAAAATTCGAAAACAAAAAACCGACCTGTATATACCCTCTCCTCTTCGCCGATTACGACCACCTTCGCCTCATATTCTAGATCCTTTGCGATACTCTTAGCTTGTTGCGAGCGACGGCGCCTGCGATTCAATACCTTGCATCCTTTTCCTACGATACCTCTTTCGTCTCTCAGGGAGGGACGAATACTTTCTTCGGCCTATGTTTCTTTTTTCCGGTCGGCCACCGATGATGTACAGAACACACGTGCAGTGACATTGCTACTTGACGTTGCATGTTCATGACCTTTGGAGTTGATTTTACCTTTTGATTTGGGAGGGTTTTGCGTGCCAACGACTTTGCCAGATACACCTACGCTACTTCATTTTCTTTCTTCGATCTCTTTGTTTGGGTTTCTTTTTATTACCGGGGCGGGAATGGATATCATTTTCAAGGATCTAGAGGCGGAAACGATACACGTCTGCATGGCTTGGCACTGTTGAATATCTTGGGTTGTTTTTTATTTTGTTACCTTCTACTTTGCTCATCTTTTACGGATTGTTTCTGTACATGGAATTTGGGGATTGGTGAACAACGCTTCCTTGCCACTGGTATGTGGTTGGTCGGGTCTGGTAGCGAAACCATGGGATGCGGAGTTGTTTCTGTTTGAAATCGATATCCTTGGGGGTCTCTCGCGGTATGCGAGTCTAGACCATTTTATGCACTTAAAATGCTTTCATTCTCTTTCATCTATTCTCTTGGTTCTGTATTTCTTTTGTCCCTTTTTGGGAACTCCCGGAGAGTTATGACATTCCAAGGTTATATGATGTCGATTTACATATCAAGTCCAATCATATCTCTTATTTGTGTCTTCATATCTTGTACGAAGCAATGTACTTGATTTCTTGGCTGCTGGGCATGTATCTAGATGCAGCCTTTTGCTCCGAGCCATTCTAATGCCAAACACAGGTAGCCCGCCACTCATATGCTGTCCTGGTTTGGGATAGTATTGAAGGTTCTGCGATTTCCCTTGACTTCTCTTTGCAGATCCAATCAATATCACAAGTAGTGCTGGGAAAATATGTAAGGATATATATGGCGGAGTGGACAAATGCCTCGCTCTAATTCCTCAGGAATATATATATATGTCTACATAGTATTTTTGCCTACAAGGATTACGTCCCTTAAGCAGCAAAACAAAACACACAAAAGCCATGATTAGATCTCCAATTAACATTGGTCACACCCAACGGTTTGATCGCCCGAAGATCAATGATGTGAGGCGAAGATGCCATTGTTCTATGCCCACAACGCAATGCCATTGTTCCAATAGGCAACCAGAGCAGCAACACCAACGCAAATAAAAAAAAAAGCCACACTTAACCTGTCACAACGGGAGATCTTTACAACCTTTCCTATACGTTTCAAGTACGCCGTGCCGCCTGCATGATTGGGTCCCTACCCGCTAGCCCTTGTTTCAGGATAGACCAACGACATCCCGACACTGACAGGCCCTAAGGTCTCAGGTGTCAAACCCACGCGCCCAGGACAATCCCCCCCCACTTATCTAAGACGTCGCGTAACAGACAAATTACGGAGTAGCAGGATATTCCGCATATAGATATCATCTACGTGCTCCGTGCTCCGTGCTAGCCTATCTGGCGCTTCTCCCGAGCCCCTGACCTGGGCCTGACACATCCCGGGGCCCACGGAGTATACGTCGCTCTGGTCCTGGACTGATGGCGTCTACTGTGAAGCATGCCCAGCTTGGGCCAAGGGATTTGCAGTGCAGTACTTGCCTCCGATAGGTCGAGGTGAAATGCCAAGTACTCAAGTAAGAAACTCTTGCACTACAATATACGTACCTAGGTACTCCGTACTGCTTTTGGGTGGTTCTTGCCTTGGTTGTTTCCTCCTATGAAGGTTTCACTTTGTCTTGCTTTGTTTTGTTGATATTGTCATTGTCTTTTTGTTTTCTTCTCTTCTTCTCTTCTTCTCTGCATTGTTCCGCATTGTTCTCATTGTATTATTCTCTTTCCTTTCCTTTCCTTTCCTTTCTTGGCTGCAGGCATTCAAGTCAGGACTACTGCCTGCTAGCGTTCATTTTAAGACATTGGCATTGTCTTCCCATTCATTCAGAAATTTCTAACAAGCCTGCCCCTACAGATCTACGGAGCTGTTGGAAATTCACCTTCTTTTTTTTTTCTGGTCCTGTCTTCATCCTTGTGTTTCTTGTCCATTGCATTCTTTAATATCAATTCTCAGGCTGGCCCTGATCTAATCACTCTTTTTTTCCGATTTTGATATCCCAAATTGGGACTTTGGGCAAGATGCAATTCGTTCTTTTTCTTGCTATCTTCTTTTCGTTGGGCTTCAACGCTCTGTCCCTGCCCGTGGATTCTGCGAATCACCTTCAAGGCCGGTCCTTCAAGGTACAGAGAGTCAAGCGCGATGGCTATGTTTCCCACGGACCCACGGCACTGCGCAAAGCATACCGCAAGTTCGGAATTGATACAGCAACCCTCAATGGGGTTGATGTGAGCGACTTCCAGCCCTTTGAAACCAAGCATGCCACGAATGTGAAAGCTGCAAAGGAAGATGTGAAGAATTCTGAACAGACGGGTGCCGTAGATGCCACTTCTGTTGATGGAGACGTGGAATTTGTCTCGCCGGTCAATATCGGAGGCCAAACACTCGATATGAATTTTGACAGCGGCTCTGCTGATATGTAAGTTTCATATCTTGTTCTTCCTTTAGGATGTTGGCTAGCATCTTTCAATGCTCCAGCCCACGAAACGAATATTCCGGACTAACCAATTGTCATGTAGGTGGGTGTTGAGCTCGAGACTTCCAAAGTCACTGCGAAACAGCCGAACAGTGTACGAACCGAGCAAATCCTCCAGTTTTGAAGAACTCAAAGGCAGCACATTCGAGATCCGGTACGGGGACTCCTCCTATGCCAATGGGCCTGTAGGCAAGGATGTTGTCTCGATTGGCGGTGTCAAAGTCGCCGGGCAAGCATTCGGCCTTCCGACAGATGTTTCGCAAACATTCGCCGAAGACACCAAGTCTAACGGACTCGTCGGTCTTGGATTTTCTTCAATCAACACTGTCACGCCAGAGAAACAGAATACGTTCTTCGACAATGTCGCCCCCAACCTCGACGAGCCAGTCTTCACCGCTCGCCTTCTCAGCAACGGCGTCGGTGAGTATGAATTTGGAACCGTTGATCCGAAAAAGTACCGAGGCGCCATGGCCAATGTCAGTGTGGATTCATCCAATGGATTCTGGGAATTCGAATCGGCACAATACGCCATAGGAGAAGGCCCCTTCCGCCCGATCACTCAGGCACCCCAGGCCATTGCCGACACTGGCACCTCACTCATGATGGTTAGCCCTGAGGTTGCAGAAGCGTATTATAGGCAAGTCAAGGGTGGTTTATACGCCAAGAATGCCAACGGGTATATCTTCCCCTGTACTTCGAGCTTGCCCAGCCTATCCGTTGCGGTTGGGCCTGGTTATTCGGCTACCATCCCTGGATCGTTCATGAATTGGTCCGAGGTTGGAACCAACACGACTACTGGTGAAACGGGTGAGTCTTTCTTCCCTCCACTCCTTTAGGCTCCTTTGAGGTATGAGTTCTGGGCTAACCTTTGCTTTTCGATAGTGTGCTATGGCGGCCTTCAGTCAAGCGGAAGCTCAAGCATGGCGATCTATGGCGATGTGTTCTTGAAGGCCTTGTTTGTGGTCTTTGACAAACGCGGGCCTTCTTTGGGATTCGCGGCGCCTGCTTAAGCAAAGAGGTTAAGATCTATGCCCCTGAAGTTGTGTGACGATGTACAGATTAGAAAAACCAAATCCATATTTCCACTTTTTCATGTGTTGGCAGCGATGCAGAGAGGAAGAAATTCCATTAAATACACAATAATACTGAAGTTGGAAATTTTGATTTCTTCGTATTCTCATGGGTATGCGTTTTAGTTTTATTTTCAGATATACCGAACACCTTCACATCCCTTACCGAACAGTAGCATTAGTCAAGCTCTTAACAGTACAGACACCACCGGAGGCAGCAACCAGCTTGCCAAGAGCAGGCTTGCCCTCCTGTCCATGGACAGAGGGAACAGCACTGCTATCAAAGGCAACCTCACGGTCCGCAGTGGTAGTGAAACCCGGCTGGAAAGTCTCCCAGACCTTCTTCTTAGGGTTAAGCTGCTTCTCAGGCTGGCCATCGTTCCAGCCCTCGAAGCTAATGCGCTCACCGGCAGGAGCATCAGCAGGGGGGTTAACGAGCTCGACAGGACCGGCGTGGGAGTCCTCGCCCTCCGCAACACGCGGGGAGGCAGCAAGAACCATCGCGCAAGACTTGACGCCACGCATGGTCACAGGCTTCAGGTTGCACACTGCAACGATCTTACGGCCCTGCATCTCCTCCAGCGGGACCAACCCGTTCAGTCCGGAGCACACAGTCCGAACGGTCTTGCCGGTCTCCTCATCGAGAGAGGTGTTGTCGCTGCCCGGGGCGTCACCGCAGTCGATCGTGGAGACGTACAGCGAGTCTGCGTTGGGGTGGTTGACGGCGCGCAGGATGTGTCCGACGCGCAGGTCAATCAGTGATGGGGCCGGGGGCGCAGCGGGGGCAGGAGCGGGCTTAGGAGCCTTCTCTTTCTTCTCCTTCTTTTCCTTCTTGTTGGTTTTCACGGGGGCGCCGTCGGCGCCGGCCTGGGTTTGGGCTTTGGCAGCTTGCTCGGCCTTGCCTTGGCCGATGACGAGGGGCTTGGACTCGTTGTTGGCGTCTGGGTTCTGGGCGCTGGCTTTCTCACGCTTCTTGCGCTCTTTCTCCTCCTTGGGGTCGACAGGCTTGGGCACGAACTTGACGTCGTTCACGTCGATGGCGATCTTCTCCTCGTCGGGGATTTGGAGGGAGAATAGACGGCCGTTCTGAACGAAGTCGATGTGACGCACGATGTGGTGGTAGCCCTTTTCTCCGGTGCGCTCTTCGGGGGTCCATTTCTCAACGAGAGGGGCCAGGAGAGCATAGATGGCAATGTCGGCGACCGAGGGCTTCGCGCCGAGGAGGGTAGTGCGGGTGGCGAGGTGGATGTTCAGCTGGTCGAGAATTCCAGTGGTGACATCCTTTTGGTCATTGGCGAGAGAAGTCTTCAGGCCGGAGACGGTGTTAAGCCATTGCTTAATGTCGGCTTCCTCTGCCTCATTGAAGGTGACACGAGGGAAGATCTTGGCCGAGGCGTGGAGGTAGTCGGGCTCGGTGGAATCGGAAGAGATTACGGCGGGGTACGACCGGTAAAGAAGGGAGAGGAGAGAGGTCTCGGGAGCTGCTGCCGTCGCCATGGTGTATGTTCGTGGAGGGGTTGGGAGTGGAAGAAGAGAAAATCGAGGAGGGGCACGAATTTGTGTCAACGATTGGACCCGCGGGGTTGTCAGTCGGGCCCGCAATAGGGTCGACCTGAGAGAATTCAGCTTGATCGCGATCCCTTTTATATAGGGACCTGGTGAGATTTAACTGCCTAAATAAATATTAATTCACCAAAGCAATCGCCTATGGTTCTTTTCCCTGCCCAGGTGGCCGTGCTCTGGCTGACTCAGCAGCTGCCAGCTCAGGGCACGTAGACGGACCTTGACGTCTCGTCTGTGTTAAAACCAAGGTCTTCTTGATCATGGCTCCCAATATACGACCATCCCCTGCTATCTGAAGACTACAACGTCGAATTTAGGCTCCAAGAAGAGGAAGACAAGCTCCTCGAACCAGACTACGCTGAACAGCAGATAGATGAAGCCTAATTCAGCAGTTGCTCCTATGCTATATCACCTTGGCTTATGTTGAATAGAGACAGGCTAGCTTAATAAATTAAAGGAATTGTTGCATAGCGCTTTCTTCTGTTTTGCTCGTTTCACACGGCCCATCAACCATCCATGAAGCAAATGACCAATTGGCTTTCAACATACCGGGCAAGTCTCCCATTTGATATGAATACCTGCAGCCAACATCTGCTGCCGCGCTGTTTTGCCTCCGTTCATTCCAATATCCGGGTTGGCACCGGCTTTAGCAAGCATTCTAATGATTTCCACATGGCTGATCTCTATAGCTTCCAATAAAGCTGTCTTGCCTGTGGTGGTTCTCTTGTTGACATCGAGGCGCTTCGATTTCAGCAAGGATTTCACCGTCAGTCTCTGATTATGACGAACAGCAAACAATAATGGAAATTCATCCTTTGGACCGAGATTAGGATCAAGCCTATCCTGTTCTAGGAGGATACGAGCCATACGATACCGGTCGATGCTGATGCAGCCCCAAAGTGGTGTTTTCCCCTCATTGTCTTGAGCATTGATATCGACCTTGTCTGGCATACGGACAACTTGCTTGGCAAATTTCAGAGCAGTCTGTAGGTGGCCCCTCCAAGCTGCAGCATGCAGTGGCGTGCAACCATCATAGTCGCGCTCATCGATCTCGACTCGTCGGTCTGCAAGAAGAACATCAAGCAGAATACTCCGATCAACTTCACTGACCGAGCTCCCTTCGAATAACATATGCAAGGGGGTGTAACCGTGCACGTCTTTTGCGTTTGGGTCTGCGCCTACATTGAGCAATACCTGCATGATTTCGGGTTGACAATAGAAGCATGCTAAATGAAGCGGCGAATGCATTTCCGGAAGGAACCCCGCAAAATTCGGGTCAGCCCCGTGGGCAAGGAGGAGCTTGACAAGCCGATACGCCCTTTCTTGTCTAACATGTGGCGTCCACAGCTGATGGCCACACTCGGATACTTTGATGGCCATGCACAGCAAAGAAGAGCCGTCGTTAAAACGATAATCGGGGTCAGCCCCCCCACTTCAAACAGTTTTCAGTGGATCTCCAGTCAAGTTTATCATATCTCCAAAGGTTATCTCGTATGACATGTAGGGTATGTTCGATTAGTCCCCTTAATGCGCATCCGAGCAAGCCATCTTTGGAAACTAGGAATTGTATCAACTTGGCATTTTTGTTGCTCACCATGCAAAACAATGGGAGTGCACTCCATGGCGCTGTCTCTGGAACATCAGGGAGTACTTCAATTGCTTTGATGAATGATATTCTCTTATTTTTTCGCAGACTTCGTTCAAATGCGCGCAGGTCCTGCATCCCTCGCTGGCAAAGCCGGCCACTCAAGATGTGATAGAGTCCACGATTTGCTCTACAAAGATTGTACAGCTCGTTGTCTGATAGCCCATGCTCAATAAGCAGCATCAGTTCGGTGGGTAGGTCAAGGATTGATTTCCCCCCAAGTTGTGATCTCCAACATCGCTCCAGTAACGGCGAGGCTAGATCAACCGTCCTTTGAATTGCTTTTTTCACTCGGTACTCCTTGCGTGTCCATATTCTAGGATAGCAGGCAAGGTTATTGCTCGACTGAGTGGCTTTTGGGAGGATAGATCCCGTGTCATAGTTCTGCACAATAAATGTAATCAGAACCCTCTGGTCCGGGTGCAAAAGACCAGACCACGGTTTCTCTGCTAGAAAGAAGGCCTCGAGAAGGTGGGCCAAACGGATGGCTTCCGCTGGCAGTTTTGGAAGAACCGGGATATCTGATTTTGGCATATTGGTAGACAGTATTTCTGTGCTCTTTGAAGGCTGTAAAGGTTGCTGAAGAGGTGTCTGAACTTTATGGACAGATTGCCCAGGAGTGGTCATAATGAGGTAGTAGATGTAGTAGATGATCTGAACACTAGGTACTATCCTTAATTGGTGATTCTTATACTTGTGCCTATGGGGAAATTTCGAAATCAAGTTGATTTGGGACTAAACGACTCTAGTAACCATCTAGTAGCACCCCGGATCCTAAATCAGTATAGCAATGGAAAGGGGATCAAATCTGGCTATTAGCACACTCGCCTTTTCCTACTTTTCTCTTTTTCTATTTTCGTCTTCTTCTCTTGGGTAGGTGCATTACCTCCTCAAGATCGATGCCTGCCTGAAATATCGTTTCTCTTGGAGTTAGACCAGTGCTATCTTGCATGTCTAGCTCAGCGCCAGCTTCGACGAGCAGTTTGATTATTATTTTTGAAGTTGGCAATGTCAAAGCCAGGCGCCCATTGTTGTCTTTCCGGTTTGGGTCGGTTGCCGTTGTACTTAGCAATCTCCGCACTATCGCTTCGTTACGAGTCGAAACGGCAGAAAACAAAGGCAAGTACGCAGTATTAGCATTCGGGTCGATGTGGCTCTGCGACAGCAACAGCTTGGCAACTTTTGTGTTTCGACCCTCCACCGAATGATACAGTACCGATTTCCCAAGGACGTCTTGGGAATTGATATCAACATTGGGATTTTCGAGCAATCTTTTCACAAACCAAGCAGAAGGGCTTCCGGTCATGCCGGCAGCAATACTCAATGGCGTACGGCCATTATCGTCACGCAGGTCGATGTCAATGTCTGGAGCTTGAAGAAGGGCATTGAATGTGTCTTTGCGGGGAGAGTGGGAAACAGGACAATGGGAATCAGGACAACGGGTTTTCTGGCTTGTCCGAATAGCCACGTGAAGAGGCGTTTCTCCATGAGGGCCAACTGCGTTTGCATTGGCACCATGTTTGATCAATTCTGTCACAATATGTGACTTGCCCATGGAACTGCACAGGGAGATTGCCACATGGAGTGGCGAGGTTTTGTCGGATATGTGGATATACGGGTCAGTCCCGTACTCCAGCAAAAAGTGATCATTATTGACGTCTCCTGTTTGCTTTGAAAGGTAGTACCTGTTCTGCATATGGGTACCAATTTTGTCCCTCCCAGGAAACAATTTCCACGTGGACTGTTTACCCATTCTTTCGGGGATCCTCGAGAGTGCTTCGACTGCCTTTTCGAACATTACTAGCTGACAGCGGTCCAAGCTCCATGCCAGTGCCTTAAGAGCCATGTCTAGTTCTCTCCAGAGCTCAAGCCCTATCACATTGTAAAGACGGCGATTCAGTTGGCAGAGTCTGGCGCGAAACTTCGCCGGTAACAGAGCAGCAATGCGCTGCAACAACTCGTTGGGCAGATCAAGTATTGATGTTTTGCAGACTTGTTTCTTCCAATCCTCAAAAGCATCTGTCATGAAGATTCGCTTGGCGTCTATGAGAATGTATTTCGCTGCGTTATGCGCTCGTCCTCTATGGGTCCGCCATGACTTCGGGAAAGAGAATTGGCTCGACGTGTTCGACGCAAAGTTTCGAATGGTGTAAATAGACACGCCAGAGTTGCTGATACTTGTCTGTCCTGGCTCGGAATAATTCATGACGATGAAATTAATCAGATCCACCTCATCGGGCAGGAGCCTGGCTGACCGCCGAGGGTTTGCATGAATGTATCCAAAGACACGGCATACTGCTTGGATTGTATTGGTTGTTGTGAGGTCCAATTGAGCAAGATTAAACAACGACATACTGTGAGGAACCGAGGTGGATGCTGGTGGGCGTATGTTTGAGGAAGGTATTGCTGGCAGATACAGCAATCATATTTGAAGGCTGTAGAGCTGATCATCATGCAATAATCTATCTTTACCTTTGGTATTGATACCTTGCGGTATGGGTTGTCTTTACGGACTACCATAGTCAGTCTGAGCTTATATGCGAAGTTTGTCGGCTTCTGATAGTCCAATCTTGTAATGGTCACTGTATCTCAATGGCATCTGTTCAACAGTAAATTAGAGGCTCTTCTTGACAGTCCATAGAGTGCCATCGTGTCTTCTGATTTTATGCATAATCCCACCTGCGCAATCCAAAAGGGGCTTAGATATGTAAATGCAACCCTCATCAGCCTTCCAAGGTTGGAAGTGTATGCACTGGCAAGGGCTTATCCTAAACTACATTAGCGTATTTCAATCATGGTCTGTGATTGGTCAATTGAATGACGCTAAAATGAGTCATAATGAGTCGTCGGGAACATCCGATAACCAACCAATCACATAATGCTTACTGTGGGCCCATGTGGTGCTGCGGTTCATCCCTTGGTCTCCCGATCCTTTTATATGGCCTGGCCTTGTCTTCCATTTTCTTCCTCAGGACACGACTCCGGTAGAGTCGACCCTTATTCCCAGTTACCCTAGGGTACCTCTTCATCACCTTCATATTGAGCGTCACGGGTCTGCAAAGGCCCGTCTAAGAAATCCAGCGATGCCGGCCTGCGGATGTTCAAGCGCCGCGGCAGCGATCCAGACCTCCACCTACTGGTTCCAACCCGCCCAGCACCGGCACGCAGGAACGCCATCAAGGGCCTGCTGAATATTCGCCATGGGCGAGTCTTCATCCGTACAGTGATAATGACCTCTTCTCCTCGCTGGCGCCGCCGTTGGAAGGCTTTCCCTCGGCTGTGCCAGTCTGTCAATCCTTCGATACCCTCACGCACGAGTCGGCACTCTGGGCAGAACCCGATCTGTCCTTTGCTGATACCGACTGGAATTTCATATCTGTGAACCATTCGACGCCATACCCTCCCGACTATGACGGTGGCGATGTCCCCGTCATGGACCTCGGGTATGGGTCTGTTTCTGCTTTCAATTCTCTTTCGGATTCCGGCTCAATCGAGCACCAAAACTATGTTTCTGCCTCTCTTGCTCCTAGCTCCGCCAATTCACTAGGTATGATCATACTCTCCGATCAGGTCAATGGAGTCTATTTTCTAACGTTTAAAAGATGGCCACTCGCATCCTTCCCCTATCTCTCCATTCCCTGCTCCCGTCTCTACTTCTCTCTCCAGTCCCTCTACCTCTCAGGGCGATGACACTCTAAGCCGTGTTGATTCGTCAAGGGTAGAAAAGCGGAAACTCAACACCCTCGCGGCGCGGAGGTGTCGGCAGAGACGTGTGGATCGAATGAAGGAACTTGAAGCCGAATTGGAGAAGGTTCGGAAGGAAAGAGATGATTGGAGACTTCGATGTTCGAAGCTCGAAGGTGAAACGGATGCTTTGAAGGGTCTTCTCACTCGCAAGAGCCAGGATACATAGTTGTGTACTCGAAAATTGGAGCTGGTCTCTGAAGCAACGAATTCAATTGGTTTTGGACCCGTCTCTACACATCGTTATCCTTGTTCCTTTGTTTGAAAGAGTCTGCTATAAGAATTATTCGTATTTTTGGGTGCAAAGATGCCCACCATCAGACATGTCCCTTTACATCGGGCACCCCCGCAGAGAAGCCCTCGCCCTAGGTCATGTGCATCGACGTCGGTTGTACATATCCAAATATGTAGGTAGGGATGTTTGCGTTTGATTTCTTCCCCGGGTGGCTCAGGTGAACGACGCCCCGTGACTATCTTTGCGGGGTCTCGTCAAAGAGGTGTTCTCTCTAGTCTAAGACATGCCCAACAGATTGTATCACTCACATATATTGAACTGGGACCTTTCTTTGCTATTCGTGTAACATTCCAGACTCGGAACTTTTCAAAAAATTACACCTCGCTTTACTCCCATTAGCAGACTCTTCGGTCCGTTCTATAACACTCCAACAGATTACCAGCTGACCAACCATCATGAGAGCTGTACGCTTCCATGGAAGAGGCGATATCCGCGTTGACGAGGTCGAAGAGCCAATCTGTGGTAATGGCCAGGTCAAGGCAAGCTTACCATTGCTGCTTATAACGTTACCTCCGAGGTTGAGTCTTGAGTCTCTAACAAAGAACCTTGGTCTTAACAGATTCGACCTGCCTTTGTCGGATTATGTGGCAGTGGTAAGTAACATGCTCGAAACACACCGTTAGCTAGCCATCTCTAATCCAACCCAGATATCCATGAGTATCTTGCCGGCCCAATGATCGTGCCTGTCACCCCACATCCATTAACCGACGAGAAGCTGCCGACCACTCTGGGCCACGAGTTCAGTGGTACAGTTGAAGAGATCGGGTCAGGCGTTACAGGGTTCAAGGTCGGAGATCGGGTTGTAGTCAAGCCCAACCTCTTCGACGGCACATGTTCGAACTGTTCAATAGGCATATTCAATTGCTGCGAGAAAGTTGCATTCATCGGGTTCAGCAGTAAGCCATACTCAGGCCTGCGGCCAAGTCCCGATATTGACGGCCACAAGGTCAGGCAGGTGGTCTATCGGATCACATAGTCGTGGACAGCGGACATGCTATTCCGCTACCGGAGTCCATTCCACTCGATATCGGTGGTAAGAATAGCGTTTTTCGTTTCAAGTTGTGTTCGGCCTGTTTCAGCTCTGACGGCTTGGTGATACAGCTCTGGTGGAACCTCTCGCCGTCGCATGGCACGCCGTAAGCCGCAGTCCTTTGCAGACAAATGACACTGTACTTGTGGTTGGGGCTGGACCAATCGGGTTGGCTATTATCCAGGTACTGAAAGTCAAAGGTATCACCTCGATTATCGCGGTGGAGGTCTCTGAGCGACGACGTGAATTTGCCCTGGCCCTGGGCGCCACCGAGGTCCTTAATCCCATTGATGTGGATGCGGTTACGCAGATACGTGCCTTGACAGGGAACGCGGGTGCAGATGTTGTATTCGAGTGTTCCGGAGCTCAGGCTGGGCTTGATACTGCGGTCGCTTGTCTTCGGGTACATGGGACGGTGGTGGTCGTTTCCTTGTGGGAACATAGGCCAACTATCGATACTTTTGCAGTTGTGTTCCAGGAGAAGAATGTCATAGGGGCTGCTCTTTATGATGATGGGGACTTTGAGGCTGTGATTGATGAAATTGCTTCCGGTATGCTCTGCTACTACTCAATTTGCTGTCTTTATTTCCTAATTAGGTAGGTGCCCCTCTGCTGACCTCTTACTTCTCTGATATAGGTGGTATTCAGCCTCGCCCGATGATCACGAGTAAGATCCGAATGGAGGATGTGGATGAGAGAGGGTTCAAAGCTCTCATCGAGGAAAGAGATAAGCATGTAAAGATCCTGGTTGACATTTCTGCATGAAGCACGCGGTTAGCATACGGGCCTATCTCTGCGGTGGTAGCTAGGTATAATTAGCAATACACTCAATATTTAACCCATGACCAACAAGATCCAACATATAAACCCAGTCTTGATTAGCAGTATGCTCCCTACATGTAACTAGGTATATATTTTTTTAATGTAACCCTAAGAACCAGCTAATCCAGTCCAATTCTATATACCAATATAGGGCATAGCTGTTGTAATTCAATATTACGAGCTATCACAAGAATAGTGGCGATTCAGTGATCTATCTGTGTTAGCTCCGGTCGGGTGGCGCCATTTATTTATTTATTTATTTTTGGGAATTGATTTTGCCTGAAACTCCTATTGTTTCGGTTTTGGTTTTTCTTTTCTTTTTCTTTTGTTTCACGAAACGTCGATGCAGCCTTGGACTATGTCTGGTAAAAATGAATGATTTATTATATACATTCTTATGGTTACTTTGCAGCCAGTAATACGAACGTGGGGTGATCTCAGCGCTGCCCTTGGCTGACTGTGTTAGGGCCTCCCAAGGTTGGAAAGGCATGGCAGTGAAAGGAATGGCAGTGGGGAAAGAGAGTGTTTTTACTCGACGCCCCCCAACTACCCGGAAAATGTCCCGGATATCGACTATGCAGTACTCCGGACGGAGTACTAGACTCTATTCGAGACATCGCCCAGATATTTTAGTTGGGAACTATCTATGATTGACCGGGAACGAGATTCAAGAGCGGCACAAGTCCCCACGGCGAACTAACCTGCTTCAGTATGAAGTATCGATGTCTTTTTGTTCTAATTTTACGGCATTTCCCGCAAGGGTTCTCCGTAAAGAAAATTTAGTCGCCGTGCCACGCATCAGGCAGGACATATGGAAGATCGTAAGGTTGGCCATTCGTTATTCGACACTAAGGCAGCACATAGTGTTCGCATCTGATTGATCGAATATCGTCAATTATTTCTGGGAAAACACGCCTCAGCCGTGACCTGAGACATGACACCGCTAATGTCTGATATAATTCATTGGCCTATTCTACTGCATATGGATCCATACAGATGGGGTTGGAGGATTTTTAGATCCCACCTTTTAGGTATAACACCTTTCACTTGGGCTACGCTTTGACGATTCCTTTTCAGTGATAATTCCCTTTGTCACGAAATATTCCATTGTCTTCAATCATCCCTATAATTGGAATCGAATACCTAGTACCACAAGTGTCCTTTTGACCACTATTTTTTTTTCACTACTGTGGAACCCCTACGTTTATACCCTAGGAGATTCTTGCCTAACAGAAATCCGGCGTCATGGGTACACCACTTACAGAAACAGTCATTATCACTGGTGGAAATGGGTTGTTGGGCTCAGAGATCGCTATTGAGATCGCGAAGAAGGAACCTTTCGTTCATTTATTATTGACGGCACGGGATATAAGGACCGACGATGTCCGCGAACTGATGGGGAAGATCCGCTTGATCGGCCCCAGATCGATCGAGGTTCTCGCTCTTGATCTCACCGATCTGAAATCCGTGTCATCTTTCGCCAAAGCCACCGTCGATCGTGTTCGCTTCAGAGATATTCCGCCTGTGACCAGTCTGATTCACTCTGCTGTCGCTACGTCCTACGCTGTTGATGACCTCACATCAGATGGCTATGACCCGGTGTATCAGACAAACTGTTTATCTCCCTTTTTATTGACCATTGGATTGCTGGAGGCTTTCCGGGCTGGAGATGGTACACCAAAAGGTGGAGCGAAGGTGATCAATATCGGCTGTTCTGCGACATCTTCCGGAAGATTGGACTACTTCGACCGCGACCATGGAAGAAACGGAAGACAACCGGGAACTGCGCTGAGTGCAAAGGAAGGGAATATTCGTTTCGGGAGTAGCAAGTTAATGGGGAGTGTCGCATTGTATGCATTGAGGCGGAGTTTGATCTGGGTAAGTTGCCATTTTGATCGGGCTTATCTCCCGATTTGCAGTGCAGACTCCTACAGTTCACTAATAGGACCTAATTATAGACCGGAAATATATCGCTTGACATCTTCACCCTGGATCCAGGAGGTATCACTGGCCAGAGCAATCTGCGGACCGGGGCGCCCATGTCGGTCAGAGTCGCACACCAGACTCGGTCCGGGCTTCGGCCATTCCTGCGCATGGTATCCCGAAGCTCCATGAATAAGGCTAGTGTTCCAGCCAAAGCGATAGCCAGAGTTGCATTCCACAGTGACACAGTGGGGAAGGGGCAAAAGGAACGCTACTATATTCTCGATAGCGACTACGAGGCCGCATCCGTCTTGCCAAGCTTGCGCGATGGGGAAAAAGTGAACCAACTATTAATTCAGATGATGCAAATGATTGAAGTGGAAACAAAGGAGATGGATTCTCCTGCTCCTCTTCAACCTCAATTGGACATGATGTCGCCTCCTACGCTTTCACTATGAGGGGACAAATTTATCTATACATTTTAGCATTGGGGGAATACTTTTGTAAAATTAGCGAAGCCAATTGTCAAAATCAGAAAATCAGAGCATTTAATCTGTTATCTACTTCAATTATGCCTAAATCATATTATCAAGTACCTATGCCTAGGTAGTTTTATCTACAGGGGATGGTGATTGCAAGCGGAAGACCGGATTTGGTGAAGACCACAACAGTGTGAGACATTGGATCACATCACCAAGTCTTCCAAGGTTCTTTTGCTTCTTTTGATTTTGCTTCTGCCTTTTTTTGTTATTTCAATTCTTCCATAAGACCTTAATTCCTTCCCTTCGAGCCTTCTACGTCTGGCCTTCTTAAAACCGGGTCACTAGGGGTCTCCGGCCGCTACATCAGTTCTTGGCCCCCGACATAAGCGCCTCGACGGCTTGTGACAGCGCCCGTGATGAACCGGCACGTCCTCGAAAAGGGCCACTCCGCCTATCCTAGGGGCTCTGCATTTTCAAATTCACCGAACAGGTAAGCTGACCACCTAGTCTGAGCTAAGCAGCTCGCTTCTCATTGTCCGAGTTCGGAGCCCTGTCGTCATGCCAGATCACGAAGCTTGAAATCGAGACTGACTAGTATGCATCCGTCCCCAGGTTCCAGCCTCGCTCGCAGCCTGCACTTCGGAGACGCCGACAGCTCTTCCAGCGCCTCTTCCTCCTTGGCGGAGTGTCACTAGTGTTATTCCTCTTGATCTTCCCATCCTGGCGCGCCGCCGTCCTTCCCTCCATCTCGCTCGGCCTTCTCTCCTACCCCGGAGATCTACACCTACAGACGGTTCGGTACTATGATTTATCTGAAGTCCAAGGAACGGAGAAGGGCTGGGAACGCGGAGAGCGTGTCCTGATGTGCACCCCGCTCCGTGATGCCTCGTCGCACCTCCCGATGTTTTTCTCGCACCTTCGAAACCTCACATACCCGCACCACCTAATTGATCTGGCGTTCCTGGTATCGGATTCTCAGGATGACACCCTAGGCATGCTGTCGCGCATGTTGGAGGATATACAGAATGACGCGGACCCGAAAATGCCCTATGGGGAGATCTCCGTGATCAAGAAGGATTTCGGGCAGAAAGTCCAACAGGACGTGGAAAGTCGACACGGATTCGAGGCGCAGGCCAGCCGACGCAAGCTGATGGCCCAGGCGAGGAATTGGTTACTGAGCGCAACGCTTCGCCCAACACACAGCTGGGTCTACTGGAGAGATGCAGACGTGGAGACTGCTCCGTTCACAATCATTGAGGATCTAATGCGGCACAACAAGGATGTTACAGTCCCGAGTGAGTGGTGACTATTGCTTGGGCGTCGGGACCTATACTAACTGGCGTCATCTGTAGATGTTTGGCGACCGCTTCCAGATTGGCTTGGTGGAGAGCAGCCTTACGATCTGAACTCCTGGCAAGAATCCGAGACCGCATTGGCGCTCGCGGATAGCTTGGACGAGGACGCCGTCATCGTGGAAGGATACGCCGAGTACGCTACATGGAGACCTCACCTTGCATACCTCCGCGATCCCTACGGCGACCCAGACATGGAGATGGAGCTGGACGGAATCGGAGGTGTCAGTATCCTGGCCAAGGCCCGCGTATTCCGTGCTGGTGTACACTTCCCAGCCTTCAGTTTCGAGAAGCATGCCGAGACGGAAGGGTTTGGCAAGGTAAGACAGTAATCAACGAGGCGGTATTACAATTGCTAATGTTTTCTAGATGGCTAAACGGATGAAGTTCTCGGTGATTGGACTGCCACACTATACTATCTGGCATTTATACGAACCCAGTGTCGATGATCTCCGGCATATGGAAGAAATGGAGGTGGAGCGACTGGCTCGCGAAAAAGAAGAACAAGACCGAGCCGAGCAAAAAGAAAACACCCAGTCCAAGTCCCTAGGTGATGATCAGAATGTGGACGGGGAAGAAGTACAAGGCTCTGCCGAAGGCCCGGCTGGCCAGCCCATGAAAGATGCCTTGGGTTCTACTCAGGGACACTTGAAAGCCCAAGCTGAGAGAGTCGACCAAGCCGAGAAAGCCAAATCATGATCCTCGACTGGCTTCCCCTCGCCCCATCTTCCCTATAAACGGGCCGATTCTTTGATCCAGCCGGCTGGATTACGCATTGCATTCTCACATGCGACTTGAATGTCTCATTTCCCTGTCTGGGAAAACCATTTGTCTGTTTACATTAGGGCGTATTTATGCCCATGCTCTGCGAGTGTAGGAGCTTTGCTTTTCATTCTTGTTCTGTTCTTGCATATGTTTTTTTATATCTTTTGGGGACATTTCTCTTTTTCACGGCGTCACAACGAAACATAATGGTTGGCGTGTCATGGAGCAATAATTTGGCCATTCAAAAAACATTGAAGTTTTGATTTCAATGTATTCTCTGCAAGAAATAGGAATAGGCGACCTCTTACGTGGCCTCGGTCCTTCGCGATGTAGTTCTAATATCTATGTGGCTTAAAGTGATATAACGGAGGTTATATTTAGAATTGTTCTCCCAGGTCCTTTTAGATGTCTTCTCAGATGTCTTTATATCTTTTCTTCGCATGTTTCATCCTCTTATTGGTGTTGTAGCTAGAAGTACAAGCTGTATTAGCCGCAAAATGTAGAATATGTGTGGTGAAAAAAGTGCAGCATATGCAGAACATGCAGACGATGTAATATATGGCTTTCAAATTGGCCTTTTAATGTCACTGCAACATAAAAGGCCCTCCAATCCCCCGTGGCTAATATGTACACATTCGGATGAAGCCGAACACCTCTTAGGCGGTGGTCCGTGTGTCTCCACTTCGCGTCAACGCGTCCGAACGTGGATGCTTCATTTCCCCGATTCTGATTTTGCTACTTGCATATTATACACATTGGAACCTGCAATGTCTACTCAACACTCGCACAGTATTCTTTTCACACACACCCGCCCCCAGGAAGGGTTCCGGTTACTGGAACTTACTCCAGAGCTGGAAGAACTATTAACATCGAAAGATGCACCTGTGTAAGTTGACGCAATGAAGAGGGGTGCAAGCAAACTGGAAGCAACTCGCGCACTGCTATGCCCAAAATGGACTCCTCCCATCCTAAGTTGGCAGCCCTCGACTAACGACCCCCACCAGCCTCGAACTCAAATCGCCCTCTACAGCCCTCGCACAAGCAGTAGTCGACCCCACCGCCCACGACTACGTCAACCTATGCACACCAACACAAACCTACCGCATCCGCCAAGTGCAATCATCAAACTCCCTGCACGTCCTCCGCCCAAGCCGCGGCGAGATCTCCCAAGCAGACATCAAAGTCGTTGAAGAAGAAGCCGGCGAAAGCGGCGCATTGAACCTCCCAGATGAAGCCGTAACGGCCATAGCGAAGTGTTCATCGACGCTGGAACTGCACATCCCTCCGGGAGGGTTCTCCGCCATTCCGTTCTTGGAGAAGAGTCTGCGGCTGTATGATCGGCGCAGTGACGATGACGGGGACATAGCGATGGGCGGTTCTGCTGACTCCGCGGGGCCGCTGGGGTCCAAGGAGATGCGTACCGCCAGAGAGAATGTGTGTCAGGATATCCCTGTGTCAACCACGCAGTGCGAGCAGGGCTGGATGGAGCTTTGTGCGTTTGTGGATGGGGCTGAGGGGGTGGCATGTTGGAGGCCCTCCGCGCGGTCCCGGTTGGCTGTTTGGAAGCGGTTAGTCGAGGGTGCTGTTTTACAAGGTATTGATCTTGAGAAGCAGTTTCTCGTTGGGGACTTGTGGAAGTCTGTTCTGGATGATGATGAGGAGATGGAGCCGCCGTTCCCACGTGCGTTGCTGGAGGCTGTTGTGAGGCGCATCTGTATCGCGGATGAGCGGCCGCCTTTGGCGGATGATATTAAATGTGAGTTGAAAATGGACGATGGGATGTGGTTGCAGGTATCGGGCTTGCTAATGATTTCGTACTGTTTTCTAGGGGCGAGCTTTGATAAGGTTGAATGTACACAATGGGTTGGGGAGACATACTTGGCTGCCACTGCCCCGGCTACATCGTCTGCTATTGGAAGAAGTGAATTTCTGCGCGCGTGGAAGGACTGTCTGCCTGAGACATGGAGAGGAGAGGCAACGCTGTCAAAATTACCGGTAACTTGACCTTTCCCCGCATGAGCTACGGCGCAGTAGCTGATTTTGACGACAGAATGGCTGCTACAACAGTCCTGACCCTACCACTATCTGCTTTGTTGAACTCTCGCAACGACAGCTAACCAACAAAACCGCCTCTGCACCAGCCACAGCCGCGAAGGCTAAGAATACCAGAAATTGGCATGAACTGCTCAAAGGCCGCCGTTGATTGAAAATGAAAGAAAGAAAAAGCTAACGCAATTGCTGCGTAAAATGCAATGGCATCTAATCTATGATGCGCGCGTATCTAGAAGCATCACGATCATATCTGCCGCCCAAACTCGCCTCAATCCCGCGCTTCCAGAAAAGGGAAGAATCACGAGCAAAAAGAAACAAACCTCGAAATGATGCTCTAACGAATGAATGATTAGCACCAAGTGTACTTCTCGTTCAACCACCACTCCACATCCTTGCCCAATCCTTGCTCCTCGCCAGTCCACCGTAAACTGGCGATGCTCTCCTTTTCGCGGTGCACGAGCTCAGCCTTCGGGTCCACCAAAGCCACGGCCTTCTGCAAAAGAGGAGTAGGGTTCCAGAATTCAACCTTGCTCATGTTCCATTCGTGCGCCTCTTGTTGTGCTCGTCGGAGGATAGCAGCCATAGCCTGGACAGTGGCCTGCTCCTCCGCCGGAGACGCGGGGTCATCGTACACCCACCGAAGAATATAGAGGACATTATCCTCGGGTGTTTCGCCGAAGTTCCGGTTCCAAGCGCAGTACACGCGAGCCTGGTCATCACCAGCGCCCTTGACTACAGGCGGGGAGCGTTCGGAAAACAAGTTTCGGCATAGAACTCCTCTCGAGCCCAATGCCAGACAAAGTGGTCAAAGTTAGGCAAAATGGCAATCTTAGCACCGCTTGCCTTCTGCGACGCCAGACGCATCTGCTCGCGCAGCTTGGCAAGTACAGTCTCACTGCACAAACACTTGTGAACATCCTCAGCAAATAGATCCCTCGTAACAGCGTTCTCCAGCGCACCCGTAGCAGCCGGTAAAGACATATGGGAAGACGAGAACGGCCGCCACCCAAATTGAGCATAGAACTTCTTCCCGATATCTGAGAAAAGCACCGTAAACAGCGACTTCCGCCGTGGCTCTTTCTCCATTTCCCACGTCTCGAGTTTAATGCTCAGCTCTTCCAGCATCCGCTTTGCGTACCCTTTCCCGCGGAAAGCAGGCCGGCAGTAGACACTGCCCACGCCGTACGTAGAAACTTTCTCCACCTGCCCGTTGTGCGCGAGCAGCGCTGTCTTTCTATACGACTCGCATGAGCTGAGGATTGTGCGCTTGTCCTCGGGCTCGTTGCGGTCCACTAGGATCCAGCAGGTTAGGCCATCGCGTGTCAGCCGTTGTTGGAGAAGATGGTTCTCGCGCTCTATATATGTTTCCACATCTAGGGGCCCTTTCCAGGCGACGCTGTTCAACTTGATTGAGGCAATGCGCTCTGAGGCTGTGGCTGGGACCAGGATCAGATCTGGGGATTCCCCTGGGGGGGAGGGTGGGGATCTCTGCGGCAATCATGTCGAGTTGAGCAGAGTTGAAGTATATGAGTTGTTGACGTTGGGAATGTGGTAGAGAAGAGGACGGGAAACCAAGGGCAGGTGCGGAGATATAAGAAAGAGAAATCCGGGGTTAAAGTCCAAAGTTAAAGATGTTCCGAAGACAAAAAAAGATCAAAACTAAGCCGTGGACCGACGGGGCCCCGATGCCATAATATACTGATCATTTCTAACTTTCTATTCCCATGATAACCGGTCACACGAACATAGTACCTAGGTATGTCCGATCTAAATCACTACAATTGGACCAACCACAACCAATCCATGCCTCCTATCCCCCCCCCCCTCACCTTACATTCCGCATCATGATCCGGGCCGGATCCGCCTGCCTTCTACGTACAAAGTCAAAATAAAGAGGCACATCGTGTTTCTCTTTGTCACTGGCCCGAAGCAAAGCGATGGCAAGCGATGTTGCATTGCGTTAGTCCTTATAGGCCCTTGACGTAAGAGCCGGTCTTTTGCCTCTCGCGGAGGGTTTTGGCGGGTCATGTGAGCCTTGGCGATTATGTCATTGTATTTATTTATTAACGGGGACGTGTACGGACCTATGTTGATCTTCATTTTATTTTATATTGAAAGTTCTGACGTTCTATATATATATATATACGGAATGAAGCTTTTATCACTCAGTGGCGGGGTACTCGACCTCACGCGACCATTTTTATACATGCCACTTTCCTTTAGTAGACGGCTGGACTACTTACATACCAGTAGACTTATGTACTACCATTTTCCCGGACCAAGCAGTCTTTTAGGTTTACCAACATTCGAATTTGGACTTTATAGAAGGACTCGATCTTGAATTTATTCACCAATATAGAGATTACCTCCCAACCATCACACCACCCCTGGCTACCTAGGTATCCATCAAACAATCAACACCACTGGTTGTTCACGTATCACAACTTGACTTGGTACGGGAATTATAGACAGGCAGTTCAAAGCCCTGTTGAATGGCGTGGGTAGCGTATGTTAGCTCGTATAGGGCTGGTTGAATTTCCATGTGTACTCCGTACTTGTGTCCTTTCTAATAACCCCACTAGTTCTCGTGGCATTAATATCGGTTTAATCTACTCTCACACCCTCGAGCATGCATGCATGCATGCATGCACTTTTATTTGGAAAGTGTCTCTCCTAATAGATGATTTAGATAGTTGCAGTCAAATGTATTTGCCAGATTCCTCTTGTTAGAATGTTTGCTCTCTCACCTTTAGACAGTAGCTCGCTCTCGCTTGGCTTTCACCATACGAGAAGATACCGGTCTTTCGGTGATAGACAAAGCACAAGAGCATAGCAGGTCGCTAGAGTTTCCTTTTCAACAGCATCCATTAACCTAAACTGGATATCCTGCTAGCACGCTTACATACCTAAGTAGTCACACCCGAAGGCTTAGGCGGCCTATTTTCATCAGCCAGGTCCAGGACGTTTAGCAGAAGAGCACCGAACATAGACAGAGGATGTGAAACGTAAATCAAATGACACAGAAAACCCAAAATCAGATAAAACTTCGTGACACAACAGACATTATGGCATTATGGACCTTCATTTCGAACGGAATCATTTTCACTGGGCTCATCAGCGTAAGAGCAGACACGGAAAAACGCAAAAACGTAACAAGACGACATTGGGAACTAGTTGCTAGTATTGAATTGGCTAGAAAAGATGATCATGTAGTTGATTTCAACAAAAGAGACGAATGAAATACAACGGGAAAATGGGAGATGGTATGAAAAAAAAAGGCCGGACCGCAGCAATAAAGATCAGCGAGGAGAGAGAACCCAAGGGATCAAGCAAGATGCAAAATGAGGTGAACGAAAAGCTATAAAAAAAAAAGCCCAGTGGCAAAAAAGAAAAGAAGGATGGAGAAGGAGCGTCATGAAGGTGAGAATGAGAAGAAGAGCATGGGGAGAAGAATGAGCACTTGGGAATGAAGTACCAAAAAGGAAAGATATGAACCTGATCTATGTAAGTAAATGCCATGTGAGTCCCAAAAGTCGTCCGCTCCCCGTTTTATGTATTTGCGCCACTTGCGGACGGCAATTCCAGAATTTCCTTCGTCCATCATGTATGTTCGATCATTGGTCACGCTAAATCAAGAATGAGACAGAATTTGGGTGTGGACAGGGGGGGTAAAAAAAAAGATAGGAAAGATGAAAAGAGATAAAAACAAAGAACATGATTTCCCCCCAAGGCCTGAAATAGGATCGGAAAAGTTCGAGGTCATGGTGGCTGCTCTGAGTCCACCGGTTCGTTAAATTTCTGTCGTGCCTCTTCTACCCACAACTCCAACCGAAGCTCGCCGGCTTCAACACGTCGTACGGGTACTGTTTTGGCACGGCCATTCGAGACCTTGGGGGGCGCTTGCTGGGGCTCGCCGTTCCGCAGCTTAGAGACGGAAAATGGAGCAGTGCATGATCGTAGGTGCACCTTGCCCGGTTCCGCCACAATCCAGGTTTGTTCTTCCTTGGTAGTCCCCGCCGGTGGTAAAGCATCTTCCCGCACTTCAATGCAGACAGTGAAACTGAACTCGTCATCGCGTGGAAGTGGAGTCAATCGGGCACAGGCTGAGGCGAGTCTCGCTAGACATGCTCGGAATTGTGCCTCGAGATCGACGGAGGTTGGTGCGGGCCCCCGGTCTGAGACAGGGGCACCTGGATTAGATGAATCTTCATTTCTGTCTTCAAATGTGGTATTCACCTCTCCCGCAGGCGCACGCGGGAAGCCCGACAGATCAAAGGCATATCGTTCGAGGGGCTGATTTGTGCGAAGAGATGAAATGATGATACTGACTGCGGTGATTGTGCCTTTGAGAATCTCCGTTCCGACTGCGATTGAAGCATCGTTGATGTAGTCACAGACTTTTGGGTGACGGGATTGTCGGACAGGATAATTGTATGCCCGCACGGGAAGGAAAGTTGCGCGCGGATAGACGGAGCGCAGAAATAGGATTTGATGGACGGAGACGGTGAGGAAATTGGTGAAGGAGGCCGCTAGCGCTGACTGATTTGTGGGCAGCGATTTGGTAGCAGGGACCGGGGCGGAGAAAGTGGTCATGGTGGTGGTAGTGGTACTACTGCTCTCACTGGCAATCGGCATTGCCGTCAAACGATTCGGTATCGTTTCCGCGGTGAGGGTGGTCTTGACGAAGTCTCGAAGAATCTGAATGATGTTCCACCCTAAAGCTAATCATCGCTCTACCTTTCTAAGCCATCGGTCAACGTCACGTCCAATAAATTTTCCAGGTGTTGTTTATGTTTTGGAATCGGTCAAAGTTTTTTGGGTCCCCCGATACTCCGGCCAGCGAGGCGGCGGGTCACGATGATCCGCAGGATAAGATGGCTGATGAGATCAGGGTGAGTAGAGCGACAAAATATAGTCACTCGATGCGGCATGGAAGCGAGGTCTATGAGGGGCAAAGATGGTTGGGTATATAGGGCGTGGAGGAGGGGGTTGTTTGTGTCAAGGAAATCCGAAACGTACGCTTGGGTGGACAAAACGACAAGTAGAAGCAAGCCTCAGAGCATGAGGGATAGAAAGACCATATAATTCCCGAGTGACGATCCCAAGTGCAAGAGAGTGATCACTTTTTTTTTTTAGATTTAAGAACCCTTGGGGGAGGGGAATTCGAGGAGGGGCGTTAAAGCGAAGGAAAGGAGGGGAAGTTTTGAGAGACGGTAACCCTCGAGGGAATGTTTTTTTAGGAAAAAGAGGGCTGGGCCCAAGTTGGAAAATAATGAGGAAAGAAAAGAGGTTATAGAGATGGATCGATGGGATGTACCTCACTCTCTCTCATCGAGGGGAAAAGCAGAAGAAAGGCGGACAAGGCGGACGTAAGTTGGTTGGAAGGGTCACGGTTTATGTCACGTGCAACATGGGTTTGCAGAATCCCATTTCTTCGATTTACTTCGTTTCTTTGATGTTATTTGTTTTTTCATATATTACAATTTCTATCTGGAACTTTTTGATATTTTTCTGGTCAAAATCTTGTGTAGTAGCTAGGTAGTTTAGCATGGCAGGGGTGAGTAGTAAAATCGAGGGAAAAAGCAGAAACAGAAAAAGAAAAAGAAAAATACAGTGTACAGTATACGGTTTCCAGTATTATGCCATATCTGTATGGAGAAAAGAAGGGCACACAGTTTTTCGCCTCTCTTTTTATTCCCCACTGTGCACTGGTGGATGGGTACTCTATGAGAGGGACGATCATCGGTGGGAAAAAAAAAGGGCAGGGAAAATACATAGTGTATCTAAAATATATAAAAACCGTCTACCATGGAATCAGAGTGAAGACCCAACGGGATATAGCCGAGCTGAATTCAAATGTTTGGTTATATGTGTTCCGGTACTTTACCTACCAAGCTTTGAAGATTACAGGGGATTTTTTATATGAACCACATTACATATATAACATATAACATTACCTGGATAGGTATATAGAGTACCTAGGTAGATTAGACAATGTATGTTACATGTTTACGGTGCTTACACCTTTTACATGTCTACATATGTAATTTGTATGGTATACATCAATGTACATAGTAGGAAACTACCGGAGGTATCAATGAGGTACCGGGTACACTGTACTGCATCATACGCCTATCCACTCTCTCCAGTAAAGATGCAGTACGCACCATCTGGCTTACCCGATGATCTTCCTACACTGACGGCAGTGGCGGTCATAAGACCAGGGTGCACTTTCCCGAGATCATTTTTGCTTTCTACTTGGAAAGCCAGGTAGGTTCAAACGTATCCTTCATGTACTGGATTATCAATCTTTTCCATCTGTTTCTACAATGTCCATGATTGTACTCCGTAGCTCTTTACCCTTTATGGAGCTTGAGGAGGGGTATATGTGCATAAGTACGGTATACTAGACTCTCTAGGGCTACACTATATAATAGTTACTATTGGTATACCCCTCTTAACATACTACATTTTATCTATTCTGAATCCTAGTCTCACGAATATTATTTTCCATATTATTTTCCATAATATTTTCCTATTAGTAGTGTGACCGTGTAACTTCCAAATCATAGTTTCCACAAAATGACACCGAGTCGGCTCAGTGGAACTCTCATCTTTTCCGAAGGACCACCCAATAAGATCGACTAAAAAGATCAGAACCTGGATCTTAAAAGCTCGAGCCAGTTCAACCGGACCATGCAGTCAGCTGCATATGGTGCAGGTCCTGAAATGGTAAACGGCAAACCGCTACTCTGTATTGGATCCTTGATGGGCTATGTCCACTGTCTGACCTCGGCGGAGGTCTGATCTCCGGAGGTTCCTGGCATTAAACTAGTTCGGGGGATC